AAAAAAAAAAAAAAAAAAAAAAAAAAAAAAAAAAAAAAAAAGAGTCTTTTATTATCATTTTTTATTTCCATTTTCTCAAAATAAAGAATTAAATTGAGATAAAAAATCAAATGAAAAGAAAAAATCTTACTCTTTCTCAGTCTTTTCTTGATTTTCTTCTTCTTCTTCTTCTTCATCTTCTTCGTCGGCACCACCGACCCTTTTCCGATGGCGGCCATTCGCAGCCGCCAGCTCAGCCGAGGACGACGATATTGAGCAAGAATTATTGGGCGTGTGGACCGCCGCCTCCGAATATTCCACCGGCAGCTGCTGTGACTCAAGCGCCACCATCAAATGGTCCCTGTCCATATCACCAAGCATTAGATCCTCAAAACCGGACATCTCCAAAAACCCTAAGGAGCTCATTTCCCGGTGTTCCTCAAAACCGGCCGAGTCCCGGTCCAACAACCCGCTGTTTGGCATGCCCGAATACATGGAATACATCGATGACGTGTCATCCATCATCATCTTCTCCATTTTCCTCTTCTCCTCCATGGATCTTCTTCTATCACAAGCATATAAAATATGAGAGAGAGAGAGAGAGAGAGAGAGAGAGAGAGAATTGTGTATGGTCTTTGGGAGGTTTGTTTTCTTGAAATGTGAATGAAGAGAGACTTTTTTTTTTTTCATGTATGATGATATGATATAAAAGGACTAAAGGAGTGCTTTTGGTTTTAAGATATTTTTTTTTGGTAGCCAGACACGGTATCTGGAGCTATGTCCCGATCTGACAGTGATGAGTGAGTTTCCCAACAAAAATTTTCTGTATCCACAAGGACTCGAACACGAGACCTTGCTTAAACGACATCAAGTTGCTTACCGATTGAGTCAACTCTTATTGGTGGTTTTAAGATATTATTAGTCCTCCCTCTCTGTACTTTTTTTTTATATTGTCATTTATATATTATATAGATTTGAACAATATACATTCTCATTTTCTTCTTGTGTGATATTGATTTTCTATTATTATTATTATTATTTTTTTTTTGTACAGAATTCGAGAAAGATGCCATGTATGCAATACTGAATATATATTTTAATTTCCTCAATCTAATTGGATACTCGAAAAATAAATAAATAATTTTATATCACCACCCAAAAAAAAAAATAATAGATTCTATTCACAGTGTGACCATATTAAACTTCAGTCCCCACTTTAATTAATTAGTCAATTTTGATCCTTTATAGATGAAAAGTCAAAGTAGATTTGTATGTAAAAATAATATGGAAAAAATATAATCCGGCCGTATAAAGACAGTTCAATTTCCATACGTATCTACGACCGTATTCGATTATACATATATATGTCGATTTAATTTACTTAAATTTATTAGGGGGTGATTGTTTATGGTTTGAATAGTAAAAAAACTAGAATTTTTTAATTATGGTTAAGTTTAAGAAAAAGTTGTATGGTTAGTTGTTAGTGGATATATTAAAATAGTATTTAAAATAAAATAGTTAAAGTTGATTTGATGTAGAGTAGGAGAAAAATGATTGGAAGTGATAGTTAGTTAAAATTAGTTAGAATTATGTGAGTGGATGAATAGTGAATTAAAGTTGATGTGATATATAATAATAATTTGTTGATGTTATTTAATTATATAATAATATTGAAGATAGTGGGGTTGAGTTAAAGTTGAGTTAAATTTGAATTTGAGTAAAAAAAATTACCGTAGGAATGATAAACAATCATGCCCTTAGTTTCTAATTTCCTTAAACTGTACAGTATATTTTGATGTACATTGAATTGAAAAATGTCAGATGGTCAAAGTCAATGTTGATTTGGTCTCACCAAGAACATTGTTCAAATATTTGCCACTTTATTTGAATGACAATATTTTATGATGTTCTCCAATTTTTAACATTAATTATATTAGAATCGGGGAAGAGGAGCTTAGATGCACATTAGTAATGTTCTATCTAAAATTAATTGGAGGTAGTTAGGAGGAATAATCTACTAGATTTATAGGTTAGACTTATTTTCTCTGTATAAACGATGCGAGACAACTCACAAGTGTATATTCTAACACGCCCCCTCACTTGTGAATCATTCATATGATGTCCAAACTCAACTGTGTGGAGTGGCAGATACTTCATTGCACGGTCTCATTAGGCTCACCTCTGTTTTGGTGCCCTTCACGTTCGGGAAAACTGCGTCCGTCAACCCTCGTTTCTTAATGGTATCAGAGACAGTTCATCCGAGTTCAGTTGAGCTTGGATCTACGTGAACCAACATATTTCTTCTAGAAAAAAAAAATAAATAAATTGCAAACTCTATTAAGAGAGAATTACAAAAAAATCTAAAAATTTAACAATTTCCAATGGGTAAATGAATTGACCGGGGATTGCCGGTGGGCAGTTGGTGCGATAATTTAAACAAAATATAATAGATTGATTTGGGGGACTGTTGCTTGCTTGTTGGCCGCATTCAATTCCGAGGACCCAATCCTCTCCAAAAAGTGCGTATTCATACGGTTATGGTTGACCGTTAACCGGTTCAAGTGGGAAATCGGTTCGGGTTTTGGAGAAAGAGTCCTCGCATCAGAATTTGTTTTGTTTTCTTCTCTTTTAAACTTTTCAGTTGTTAGGTTTAATTAGAATTTAGTTTTTTTGTCATTTTTTCTTCATTAATGTATAATATCTTTTTTATCTTTTTATTATTAATTATTTAAGGTCAACTTTTATTTTCCTTTTTTGCCTCTCATTTGATTATTATTAGTTAGATAGTAACTAACACATGAATTCATGATGCTTTGCTAATTAACCAAGTTGATGAGATTTGTTGGTGAGCTTCGGTCGAAGAACCGAGCTAACGTCCTCAGGAACCTACCTCGACCTGTATCACCTCTAAGTCGATTAAGCTAAGGGAGCTCCGGTTAAGAACCGAGCTATATTAAAGCCCCAATTTAGGATCAAAAGTAGTCCCATGATGGATAATGCAGTCATAATTTTTTTTTTTTTTCTCCAAATAGAACAATTTAGAAGAAAAATATTGAAAATTCAAAATTAATCCGGAATTTGAAATTATGTGCTTGTGTCACATTAATTATCCTTAAATTGGTGCATTTCAAAAATGATAGTTCATTAATTGGATTGAAATGTATATTTTGCTTTTTCATTAATTTTTTGCCAAAATTATTTTAAATTAATTATTTTAAAATTTACATAAATGGGGCCGCAAATTAATATGGTAAGCTTATTTTGTAAGAAACCTGTCGGCAAAATCGAGACTACGCGTCAATTAATTTAATTAAAGGTTAATAATGTAATTAAGGGTATAATTAAGTATATTTACTAATACAACTTTTTCTAATGATGCCTCCTAAAGATAGGGACTTCCAATTTCACAAGCATATAGATCCATGGGAAATTGGGGAAAGGGCCCTCACCTTTTTTCATATTTTCTTAAGGCCCCTCACCTTTTCTATATATAATAATTGTTGCACGGTTTATACCATGATTAAGTGAAATAGTAATTATTTTGATTAAATTATAGCAACTAGCTAGAGTTTGATGTTGTGGATAGATTCTATTCACTAATAAAAGGATCCACATATATGGTGGTTGCAACTATCAATTAATCAAATTATTAACTTCATGTTGTGATTCATAAGTTCTCTCATGGCTTGTAATCTATATATATATATAATTACTGACTAATGAGCATTTAATAAAACCTATTAAATTATACCTAGGTGGCAATATAATTTTTTCCCTCCAAAAACCGTTACTTTTTATTCATTTAACATCTCATTTAATTATTAGGTTGTTGTTATGTGATTTCTAACAACGATGTAACACGTAATTAAGATGAGAATTATGAATGATTTGGACGTAAAGCATGTAAAGTAACTTCAACGATGGCCCCGGTCCGAGGTGAACCGAGGTGAAGAGCCGTGATGGGCTTTTACGTGTTGCTTAATGAAATTTTTTCAGTTCGGAGAGATCCCCGTACAAATGTCATGAGTTCACTATTTATAGTAAGCTTTGGTAGATACATTGGGATCCGTGTACTACTTTTCGAATAAAGTAGCTTTTTGTGGGCGGTTTGGAGCAGTGGGCCCCACATAAATGATGACGGATCTTGTGGAGTGGGATGGTTGTGCGTAGACACCTTGTCACCTGCTTAAGGAGGTGACGATCTCGATTTATGTTGACCTCGGTAGATGCTGACCGACCTCGGTCTTCGGTAATTCGGTTTGGTTCATCGCCTGGACCGGGGTGGTGTTAAAATCACGTCGGTTCAGTGGTCATTTTCCTCTTAATGTGATGTTTGGAATCTCTTAATGTAGTTTTACCGAATCGGATGATAACAGAAAGGCCCCCAATATCGGTGGGCATACGGAGTGATGGTCATCGATATTGCCATGTCTGATATTTAGAGACTCCGAATCGGTAAGAAGTCGGCGGCAGGGTGTGGTCTATTTTCTTCGGAGGATCATCTACGTCAGGATGTAACCGAGGTGAATCATTTGTCCGAAGTGTAGACTGTATTCCGAGGTGAAGACACTTGGTGAATTTCGAATAATTTTCAGGCACTCGTAACAGAAGAAAGGTGAACAGTCGTAACGGTCAACGATTTAATGTTTAGACTGAACGGTCGCGCCGTAATGGTCTTAAATGAGGCAACGGTCGACTTTAATAGGTTGCCACGTGTAACAGTAGGTGTCTTATCAGGCGAAGAGGTGGTGTCGGTTAGAATTAGGGGTCGCGTCGGTTCGACGCGCCCCCAATTAAGATCCTCAACGGTCGTAAAATCGGCGACTATAAATAGGGTTTAGCAATATCTGGTCGGGTTTTCTTCACCTTTGCTTTCATTTTTGAGCTTTCGCATTATACTTGTTGTTGAATTCTTCTGAGAGTTCGAGGATTATTTCCTGCTTGCTGTGCGCGTACGAAGTTTTCGGTAAGCTTTTTCTTCAATTTCTTATTTTATTCCTTTTGTGTTCTGTTCGATTGTGCGATGGCGCCGAAAGGGAAGGGAAAGGCGGTGGCGAGTTCGTCGAGTACTGAGTCGGTTCCGTTGGATGTCTATCACGATTCGGAACTGGTTGAATTGGCCTTCGAATACCACCGGTGGGACCCGTCGTTGGTAAGGCACCTGAATATTAAGTTAAACGATGAGGACGGTGATCTGGTCGTAGAACACGACGCAGCCGACCTCGTGGTGCCTCATTGGAGAAGACCGGTGAGGAAGTGGCCCGATCCTGCGATCGATTTCATCGGTGAACCAAGTATCCTTACCGACGCTGATGTCGTGATGCTGAGAGAACAGGTTCGGATCCCTCCCTCGGTGAAAATTTTTGCTCCTTATCCCGGGGAGAGAATAACAAGTCCACCTCCGGGTTGTGTGGGCGTCTTTGCGGAGAGTTTGAGGTCGGGATTAAGGTTCCCGTTGCCAAACTTGATTACGGAGTACCTCCGATGTTGGGGGTTACCGTTGTGCCAGATTACACCGAATAGTTGGAAAAAGATAATCGGTTTGATGGTGTTGC